TGTAGGTTTGATCAGTGACATCGAATTGTTTGATCACCAGAACAAAATTACTTAGTTACCATTAATGAAGTACTTTGGAGCTCTAAATATGTCGCAAGGCTCCTCACTTTTCCGATATTGGTGTAACAAACATCAGTCCATCTCCCGGGCATCATTCAAATTTTAAGAAGAACAAATCAATGCCCAAGTGCCGGCAGAAACTGGTTACGCTCCGGCCGGGATTCGAACCCCTGCCAGACCCGACTTACTGTCCAGCCGCCAGGAACGGAGACCACTGAGCCATCACGGCATGTGGCGTCCGACCTGCGCAACACGAGTCTGCTCAATCCTTCAACAGAGTGTCGCTCTGTTGTGACGATTGAAGGAAGTTCGGTCGCCTCATTGAAATTTTTTGGATGCACCACTCAAACACGTTTTGTTTCGGGGAAGAAACCATTTGGACATTTACATGATACTGTTTTTGTTGATAGGAACCAAACCTTTCGTAGACTACTAACCACTGTGAAAAATTGTCGTACCGGGTACAGGAAAATTTTCCATGGAAGAAGTCGTACAAGTACAATCTAAAATTGTACAATTTACTAGCCCTATGTATCGACTTGGAATCGAATATCGAGTGACAGTGGGAGGTTGTAAATGGCAAATTACAAAAAATATCGTACATGTACAAATATATTTCTCACAGTGACGCGTCGGATCGATCAAATGAACTTCAGTGCCAGCATCTAAACATTTTCCTCAGTGTGGGACACGCAAACAAAGCCGCTGAAATGACTTTTTTTTACACATTTTGAGATACGGGTATCAAAATGATCACTGAAAAATTCTCTTTCGAATGATACCCATGATTCAGAATGTGTAAAAAAGTCATTTACGCGACTTTGTTTGCGTGTCCCAGAGGTGAGCAGATTTTGTTTGAGGATTGTAGAGGTAAGCGGGTTTGTTTGCAGTCCGCGGAGGTAAGCGGTTGTTCTTCTCAAGTGTCGAATTTTTCAAAAAATTTGTCAACTTGAGTTATAATTAAAGTTGTAGATTTACGACAGCACATTTTTTACTCGCCAAGGGGTTGGAAGTCGATACATCCTGCATGTATTTTTACGATCACAAATTTTAATTTTACAACTTGCGTCGAGGAAAATTTTCCTGTAAACCTACCCACTTTTTTCATAGTGAACCACGTACCTCTAATGTTGGGTGCTTTTGAAACCTATACTATTCGATAGAGAAATTTTCAGTCTATTGGAATATCTACTTTCTAAGATATCGTCAAAACTGAGTTTCGTGGTTTTTAGCCCGCTCTTTTGCTTAAAAGCTATATAAGCGGGCTTATGCCATCGCCTCTGTGTTCGTCTGTCTGTCTGTCTGTCTGTCCGTTTCCCAAGAAGGACGTGGGCTAGAGGTTTGAAATTTTCAGGGAATTATTGTTGTCACTTCTGGTCAACGAAACGGTTGGTGCAAATCCTGGCAACCACCCCTGAGTGGGTCTGAGGGGGTGACAAGGAAATAGGGGTTGGTCCAAGAAGTGGATTTTTTCCTCGTTCTTTACCTCCCTCCCTCCCTCCAAACATCACTACGTGGAGGTGGAAGAACGAGTATTGTGCTCGGTGCTGTGTAAGTTAGAAGCCATTTCGCTGGAGGAAACTGGAATACATACAGACAAGTGCAGTATACCAAACGATAGGGTTTTACCCAGTAATGACGCCGTAATAGAGGTTTTTTTCAACTTTGATAGCAAATTTAAGAGAAAACTCGATTTATAATTTCTGTCCGCATCGCGAAAAGTTCAAAACTGTGGTGGCAAATGGGGGATTTTGAAATGTCAATAAATCATTTCTCCGGGTGTAATTCAACGAAAACTGATGACCATACCATAAATGTGCCATGTCCGCCGTGCCTTCCAAAGTAATTACCACTCGAAATTCATTCTCTTTATATTGTTTCTGATTCGGTTCACTTTGGACTTA